ATATCTAGATCAATTTGTCATTGTGTTTATTGATGACATATTGATTTATTCCCGGACACAAGAAGAACATGCACATCATCTCTCGGTTGTGCTACAAACATTGAGAGAACATAAGTTATATGCGAAGATGAGCAAGTGTGAGTTTTGGATGAAGGAAGTGAAGTTCCTTGGCCATGTTGTGTCCGAGCAAGGGGTAGCGGTTGATTCCTCGAAGATTGAGGCCGTGATGCAATGGGAACCACCAAAGAATGTGACAGAAATACATAGTTTCTTGGGGTTAGCCGGTTACTATCGTAGGTTTGTGGAAGGTTTTTCCAAGCTTGCGATGCCGATGACTCGCCTTACCAAGAAGGGGGAGAAATTTGTGTGGACTCAAGCGTGTGAATTAGCTTTTCACACCTTGAAGGAAAAGTTGACGACAACACCGATCCTCATTATTCCGAACAGTGGGGAAGGTTACGATGTTTACACCGATGCTTCACTACGAGGCTTGGGATGTGTGTTGATCCAAGGAGGCAAGGTGGTTGCTTATGGCTCGAGGCAACTCAAGATTCATGAGCAGAACTATCCCACTCACAACTTGGAGCTAGCCGCTGTGATTTTTGCTCTTAAGTTGTGGAGGTGTTACTTGTATGGAGAGAAATTTCAAGTGTTCTCGGATCATAAAAGCCTCAAGTATGTGTTCACACAGAAAGAATTGAATCTCCGCAGAGAAGGTGGATTGAGTACTTAGAAGATTACGACTTCACTCTCAACTATCATCCGGGGAAGGCTAATGTAGTAGCGGATGCATTGAGTAGGAAGTCTCAGGGTGAAATCAATGTCCTTGCGGCTAAACGGTGGAAAATGATTGATACGTTGGAGGAGTTTGATCTATGGGTTAATGGACCGGAGGATCGACCATTTTTGTTTAACCTAGTAGCTCAACCAATCCTCCGACAAAGGATTGTGGAGTTGCAACGGTTAGATCCCGAGTTGACAGAAATTCGGGATAAATTGGAGAGGAATGAGATTGTTGAGGATTGGTCTATAAAGAATGAGGAGTTACAGTTTCGGGGAAGATTATGCGTGCCAAACGACGACCAAGTGAGGGAAGAAGTGTTGGGAGAGTGTCACCGATCGAAGTTCTCTATACATCCGGGGAGTACAAAAATGTATAGAGATATGAAACGACAATATTGGTGGAGTGGAATGAAGAAGGATGTAACAAAGTTCATTTCAAGGTGTGCATATGTCAGCAAGTGAAGATTGAGCACCAACGACCTGGAGGATTATTACAGTCTCTGCCTATCCCGGAGTGGAAGTGGGATCATATCACCATGGACTTCGTGTCGGGTTTTTCACGGACTTCAAGAGGGCATAACGCCGTATGGGTTATCGTAGATCGACTCACCAAGTCAGCTCACTTTTGGGGATGAAGACCACAGACTCATTAGAGATCTTGAGCCGACTGTACATTCGAGAGATTGTTCGATTGCATGGAGTTTCACTTTCTATCGTGTCGGATCGCGATTCTCGTTTTGTGGCTCTTTTTGGCAAAGTCTACAACAAGCTATGGGGACAGAGTTACATTTCAGCACAGCCTTTCACCCTCAAACCGATGGCCAATCTGAGAGAGTGATACAGATTTTGGAAGACATGTTACGGGCTTGCGCGTTGGACTTCAAAGGGAGTTGGAGCGATCACTTACCGTTGGTGGAATTTGCGTACAACAACAGTTACCAAGCGAGTATCGGAATGGCACCGTATGAAGCTTTGTATGGAAGACCATGTAGATCCCCGACGTGTTGGTTGGAAGCCGGAGAGAGTAGTATGTTTGGGCCCGAGATTGTACGGGAGACAACGGAGAAGATTCAGCTCATTCGGGAGAGATTACGCACAGCACAGAGTCGACAAAAGAGCTATGCGGATAGGAGAAGAAGGCCTTTGGAATTCAAGGAGGGAGATTTTGTATTTCTTAAAGTGTCACCCAAGAAGGGCGTACTTAGATTCGGTAAGAAAGGAAAACTCGCTCCAAGGTACATCGGTCCATTTGAAGTGATCAAGACAGTGGGCAAAGTAGCATACCAACTTCGGCTACCAGTATCGTTGTCAGGATTCATGACGTGTTCCACGTTTCGATGTTGAGGAAGTGTCAACCAGATACGTCGCATGTCGTGGATTTGGAGGATATTGAAGTGCAAGATGGAGTCACCTATGAAGAGCAGCCGGTGAAGATTCTTGATATCCAGGAGAAAGTGCTTCGCAACAAGGTAATCCAGCTGGTGAAAGTCCTGTGGCAACATCATGGCGTAGAGGAAGCAACTTGGGAACCGGAGTGGGAGATGCGAGAGAAATATCCATATTTGTTCGCTACTTGAGGTAAGTTTCGAGGACGAAACTTTCTTTAAGGGGGTGGATTGTAACACTCCGCATTTTATTTTATATATATGCATATAGATATATATTAAATAATTGTTGTAAAAATGGGGATAGGTGTAGCGATGTGTGTTTGAATTTGGTAGATTGAAATGAAAAAGGGATGAAATAGTGAACAGTGCACGTGAACTGTGCACTGGCTGCAACTTCAAGCCCAATTTAGACCTTGATGCAGTCAATATCTCTTAAACTCAAAACATGAAAGTTGTAGAGTTCTTTCTTAGCTTTCCATAGCATCTTGAATCATCTAATCGGAGCTCGGATGAGAGAGTTATGCCCCGAAAAACGAAGTAATATCGAAGCAGCCCATGAACAGTAAAGGAAAAAAAATCGGGATTTCTGTGTTTAAAAACACAGATTTCAGCCTTTACTCTCATTTCTCTCATTCCACTCTCAACCCACTTCTCTTAGGACTCTAGAGGAAGAGAGAAGGATAAAACACAAGATCAAGAGGAGATCTATACTTCAAAGAAGATCAAATCTTCATCTTCTTCACACTAAACCTAGGTTTTTAAGAACATTGAGGTAGGGTTTTCTTCCATCCTTGTCCATTGATGTTAGGGTTATTATACATGTAGAATTTGGCTCTTAATAGTATGTATTTGTTATGGGTTCCTTGTTCCTTGGTATGTTTACAAACATTCCATGATTTGAACAAAATGATGGTTGAAAATCCATCAAACTCTAGTTTTTGGGGCAAATATGGATTTTTCTCTATATCTTCACATCATCTTGATTTCGAAAATTCTAGAACTTTGTGTTGGGTAGTAAAATGATTGTATTGATGATCTCGTGCTTATTTCCTTTAAACTTGTCTCTTGTTACATGATTTGCGAAATGGGTATATTTTCTTAAATTGTTCTATTATGTATCTTGCTTGTGAAAATTTGGGAAACATCATGGAATTTGCTTGTATATGAGGTTGAGTATATTGTTGGTATGTCACTCTTGTGTATGGTGTTGTGAGGGACTTGGATTACCTTCGAAAACTGCCGTAGAGCGTTAGAGGTTAGTCTATCCCAATGGGGGGGTGAGATGGCTGCCTAATGCTCGTAGTGGATCACTGTGGTGACAGTGACCACTATTGTTCACGGATACCGGGGAAAAGGGTTAGTATACTAGACACCTTGGAGGATCTCGTCAAGGCCGTATGAGACGGTACACGCCCTTCCTAAATTGGTCTGTGATTGTTAGTGGAAATGGGTGAACGAGGTAGAATCGTCGGGTAGATTCATGAGAAGCGACAACCTACTTGAGTGGTACCAAATATAAATTTTTGTTCATTGTACCAAATATTATTTCTTCAAGAGTTTCGGGTAGTATGGGATGCCGCGATACCTTGTGGAAATGGTGTATGGTGGAGTGGATTATGTTGAAAATTATTTGTCAATTAAACGTGGTTTTATTCTCGTTCAAGTCCTTATTATTGTACAAACTTGAGATCTCCTTTAAAATGTCCTTACTTTACTTCAAAATTCATTTATATGTATGTGCGAAACGTGACCTACCTGTTTTACTTGATTTCAAAACCTTGAATGAGTTTGGAAGGATCCTCCTACAGAGCCTTGTGCTCACCCCCCTACTTCCCCACCTTTCAGATTTTGCCTTTGACGAGGAGCTGGGAGTCGAGGGGCCGACACATTTGGAGACTCCGATAGAAGGGAGCGTGGATCCCGAGGTGGATGCTTAGAGCGACCCCCCTTTCTTTTGTTATAGACTTGGATAATCTTTTGGGAGAATTGTATAACCTAGTTTTTATTTTATAAATTCCGCTATGTATTATAGTACTTTTGTGGGAATGTAAAGGCCATAACTTGGTCTATTCTTTTGGGATAACATGTAAATTGGATGGATTGATTTTGTGGTAGTTAAATGGACCCGGTGTGGTCATTACAGTAGAATTGCACATGTTGTGTTTTGGGTAGAGCTCCCCGAACAGAGGAGATTCTGCCCAAATTTTGTTAAAATATGAATTGTGGATGAATGAAACTTTCGTCGTGATGGATTTACTTAATGCTCTCATGCGGTGAATGATTTTTAGAATGTAATGTCACCCAAGGAGGTTTTTGGGGCGTTACAGTCAATGAAAGTAACCTAAATTTAGGGGGACGTAAGTGAAATTTATCTAATTCAATATCATTTGAAACTGTAAGTTAAACATTTCAAGGACTTTGACTGCGGTGCTCAAAAAAATTTTTGAAGGTATTTAAAGGGTATTTTTATAATTTTTGTGAATTATTTTACAAAAAAAATTACTATTTTTCTAAGTATTTTTATCATTTTTATGAATATTTTTATTATTACATAATTACTTTTACTATTTTTTTTAATACCACAAATATGATAAATATCCTCGTTTCAATATATTCGCTTGCTTGACCAAAGCAAATGATTACATTGAGATATTATTTTTCGTGTGGGTTACGCCACTGATGAGGTCACAAAAAGTATGCACATTTTGGTACCATACAAATTCCAGCTCTAGCAGTTTCAATTCACCTTTCCCCTTTCCTCCGCATATTAAAAATAAGGTGACAGACACCACGCAGAGAGCATGGAAAACTGAATCAAGTTCAAGTGCCATGGCACTAAGCTTTCAATTTTTCATCTTGCTTCTCCTTTCATGTCTCATCTCCGCAACCAGTTGCCTTAGCCATCATCAAAACAACAACAAACATGCCGCAGAGCTCTTCATTTTTGGAGATTCACTTTTCGATCCAGGAAACAATAACTACATCAACACTACCACCAGCTTCCAGTCAAATTTTTGGCCCTATGGCGAATCTTTCTTCAAGTACCCCACTGGAAGGTTTTGCGATGGTCGTCTCATCCCTGACTTTATCGGTAAGGAAAATGTTAAATAGACTTAAGTTTGTGTTGCATTATTCGGTCGGTAATATTTAAGTTCCTGATCAACATACAGCATTTCCTTGATCTAATACCTCAATGAATTATATATATGGAACTTATCTTACCACCTTTGTACTGTTACTCTTGCAGCTGAGTATGCCAAGCTGCCACTAATTCAACCATATCTCCAGCAGCCTGCTGGTTATCAGCAATTTGTTTATGGGACAAACTTTGCATCTGGCGGAGCTGGTGCTTTACCTGAAACTTTTCCAGGAATGGTCAGTAATAAAAGTATTAATGCAACTTAAATGCATATCATTTTTTGAATGAGTGAATTCTATCCAAAAAATTGACAAGACCCACTTATCCAAGGGAGGATATACATTTGGATTGCACCCTTTTGGGTTCTGAGTTGTGTACAATTTTGAAGCATGAAGCATCCATCTGAGATTAATGTTCATACGAAAAAACATATTCCATTAAGCTATATATTAGATTTTTCAGACAGTGTTGTGAATCCTTTTGTAGGTGATTAACCTTAAAACACAGCTGAGCTATTTCAAAATCGTAGTGAAGCAGCTGAGGCAAAATCTAGGGGACAGGGAAGCAAAGCAACTGTTGTCTAATGCTGTATACTTGTTTAGCATAGGGAGCAACGATTACGTGAGCCCCTTTTTGACAAACTCCACCATTTTTCATTCAAATTCTCCAGAGGAATACGTCAAGATTGTGATCAGTACCTTAACAACTGTGATCAAGGTAATATGATACTGTCTCTCTTTTCCTAGCAAACCCTAGCCCCCCCTCCATTTTTCTAATTGTGCTTACTATTAATTTTCTAAACAGGATATTTACATGAAAGGCGGGCGAAAATTCGGGTTTGTTAACTTGGGGCCTTTGGGTTGTTTGCCAAGATTTAGAGCACTCGAGCCTGAAAATAATGGTGAATGCATGGCAGAAATCACAACTTTAGTGAAACTACATAACGGGGCACTTTCCAAAAACCTCAGAAACCTCAACAAACAATTGAAAGGGTTCTTGTATTCTAATTTCGATTTCTACACTACAGTGACTGAAAGAATGAACAATCCATCAAAATATGGTACGCCACGGTTATCTATTTAAACTTCATGTGTTTTGTTTTTTGTGTCATTCCCCCCCCCCCCCCCAACAAAAAAAAACTTAAATTTTTTCTATGGGTGTTCATACATGTTTGTAATTGTCATGTAAAAGGTTTCAAGGAAGGCAAGACAGCATGCTGTGGCATTGGTCCTTACCGAGGAATTCCAAGTTGTGGAGGAAAGAGACGAGGACTAACAGAGTTTGAGTTGTGTAAGAATGCGAGTGAGTATTTGTTCTTTGACTCTGGTCATCCCTCTGAAATGGCAAACCAGCAATTTGCAGGGCTAATGTGGAAAGGTATTCCCAATGTCACAAGGCCTTACAATCTGAAATCACTCTTTGAACGGACACACTAGCGGACATCGTAGTCTAGTCATAGCCATATCATATGTTGCTTATATTTTTCCAAACAATCGTTTTCTGTTCAGTGAATAATGTCTAGAGGTGTGTTATGTTTTCAATCAAAAAATAAAGAGCAAAGGAAGAAAACGCTCAAAAGTCCAAACTTTATTTAGCTGAGGAATATGTTATTGAGCAAAGTGGGGATATGTCGAGTCACATTGGTGTTTGATTATATCGCTTGTACTCCTTTTTTTTTTTTTTTTAATCTTAATCTCAATTTTAATTTAGCAAAAAAAAAATGTTGAGCAAAGTTGACTGGGTTAGTTGAATTAGTTATACAAATAATCCCCATGGTTCATTCAGTAAAGTGGAGACAATTGTTGATCAAAAGGACTATATCAACCGTTTATTCCCCACCAAAACTCAATCTCACAATTTTCAAATTTGTGGACACAAGGCCGGCCAAACACCATGTGAAATCCGTCTTATTCTAAAATTTTCAGTCAGAACCAAGGGGTTTGATGATCAAAATCATTGGAATGAACAATTTCATTGATCAACTTCAATGAGAGCCGTTCTATATGTAGGACTATCAAATCCAAATACACACCGAAAGTTTAGATATGAAATTGGTGACTCTTATCTAAACGGAATGGTAAAACTTGTTCTTTTTAGTGCTTTTGGGGCGTGCAAAAAAATATCTACCCTAGATTGCTTCCTCCACAAACTTGAATGTTAAAGATAGGCAACCAACATCATTCTTGTCGCAAAGAACCAGAGAAAAAAAAGCTTCAATCTTGACATTATTCCCTCTAGGAGAATGTAAGTTCAATAGTCTTGGACATGAGTGGGGTAGGAAGCTAATCTACTGTACAGGTGAATTCTTACAATAGTTTGAGATAGTGATTTTTGCTTGAACTTTGATTCTTAAAACAAGAGATGAGGTGGGGCCAAGGATGTACCTGACTTGTCCCCTCCAATACTTCGGCCCGTCGGCACTTAAAGTTGAGAGGATAAATGTACGGTGCTAAATTGGTTCAGTAGGTATAACCATGTTTAATGTTATTGTAATATTTATACATTCAAATATGATAATGTAACAACCACTTGAGTATTCACAGTTTAGGCTTGACAGTTTACAGTTGAAATGTCTTCAAGGAAGCCATCATATCAACGGCGCTTCAGTCATCGAGCCACACAATAAGTGTTCTTGTCATGCCTTATTAATACTTGATGACGAGACGCAATCAAGTTAAAAGCTCGGGGGCTGAGCATTTATTGCTTCATACCCCTTAAATATCAGATCATCTCGAACATTAAGTGTTTTATATTGAATACTCACAGTCGATCGCTAAACATTTATGGTTTGGTGTTGAGCATTCAATTTGATGTCCCCTAGGGTTATTCTCCACTAGTAAGAGCGATGCCTCTATCTTTTCGACTGTTAGATATAAGTTTTGAATTGATTTGATCGTAATGATTATTTGTCACATCAACACTCTACTTTTTAAGATAATTAATCCTCGAGAGCAGTCGTGCACACATTCGTTCCCTTATGGTGCATATTTACTTGGTTTTGAGTGTGCTCATCAATCAATCTCAGTACATAAAAATTTAAAAAACATATCTATTAGATGTAATATTATACTACGTATCGACCTGTGACTGATGAGTCGCCCAAGTCCCATCAGTCAGTACCCCATTTTTACATTGTCCAGCAATTGTTGAGAGATCGCAACTCTCAGGTAGTCGGAACTTCCTTGGTGACTTCTGTGGTGGCCTCCACTCATGCCTTACGTACTACTTGCAGCCTTCCTCCCCGCCATCCTGGCGCTTCCTCTTCCAATTGCGTTGGATGGCTAGTGTGTTCTCATATTCATCCGTCACCTACAATAGTGAGACCGCAATATGAGGATTGGAGACCCCCAAATAAGACAGTGAAAAAGCATCAGACTTGGTTCATCTGGATAGTTGCAAATGGCAGTTACTAATTTGAAAACAGAGGATGCTAACATGAGCTTCAGACTCAAAAGTTCAATGCTGCCAAAATGAAGTTGGAATGGAGGCATAACCCCAAAAACCATGATCCCAGAAGGACAAGACACCAAACACCCCCATTCCCTCTTAAATTTTGTAGGACTTAATAATTTTTTTATACAAAAAAAGTATGAAATTTTGACAAATTTTTTAAAAGTTATATCAATTCCAAGTTTAGTCATAGGAAAATATTACTTGAACCTAGGGACATAATATAAATACATAATTTAATGCAATTATTGGTTTGAAAATCCATTTATTTAACATTGGAACTTGTAACTAATAAAATGACGACTCTCCCCCTCTCTCTCTCTCACTCTCTTTTCCTGACCTCTTCAAACAAATCTGTTAACACTTATTTTTCCATCCAAAATTATGTTTAAAAAAATAATCAAATTGATCAAGCTACCACTTGTGTGTGTGTGTGGATGAGAGAGAGAGAGAGGGGGGGGGGGAGTGAAAAGTAATGTGAGAGGGCTTTCTTTCAGAGAGTTTATCATTTGTGGATTGTATCGACCTGTGTGCTAGTTTTGGTTATGAGGAAGGTGGCTGTGGGGGCAGCGGTGGTGTGCGCGGCGGCGGTATGTGCTGCGGCGGCGCTGGTGGTGCGCCACCGAATGAAGAGCTCCGGGCGGTGGGCCAAAGCCATCTCCATATTAAAAGAGTTGCAAGAGAAGTGTGAGACCCCGACGGGAAAGCTCTGCCAGGTGGCCGACGCCATGACGGTAGAGATGCACGCCGGACTCGCCTCCGAAGGCGGTAGCCATCTCAAGATGATCATCAGCTACGTCGATAACCTACCCACCGGGTAATATATATCACACAAACATAGTGAAGTAGTTGTACACGAGTGTTCTAGCGATTAATTTATTGATTTTGGGGATGAAAAATGAGTCTTTGATTGAAAGCTGTGAACTTAGAAGTGTCATCAGTGTGACAGTGAGTGATTAAATCACTGGGTTTATCATTAATTTATATGAGAATGTACAATTACGCGTTTTCTTCCAATCGTTCATTAATTGATTCGGATGGAGAGCGTCTTTGCTGAGTAATTTATTCAAATTGATTCATAACTTTCAAGTTTCAACTATTTCAGATTATGTATACATAGGAATGCTGTTGGCATGCTCATATATATGTTCTGTTATTGTCATTTACTGGGTTTCATTGGGTAAAGTTGATGGGACTTTTCTGAAATACTCTATGATGAAGACACGTGTCCTCGGTATTACTAAAATACTGTTGTTAAGATCAAGCACCATCAGCGCACAAAGGTCCTCGCCCCCGAGGTACTTGTCATATAGGATCATGCACTCAGTATGTTTTACAACCGATACGTGGCCTCGGTCTGATATGGTACCTCGGTCGGTATCCCCTCCCTCGGTTCCGAGATCAGCCTCTCCTCGGTGCCGAGGTGTACCGTCCTAGACGCCTCCTCTACTCCAGGATAAGCTATTGACGTACAGGTCATTAGCCTAAGCTATTCATCATGACCTCGTCTTACACAATTAGTATCAGAACGTACTGGAATGCAGGGGCCACAGCCAATGAGGGATGGACGCGTGGCATATGATATCACATCGAAGACAGAGAAACCGCATGCCGCTGCTGACACGCGACTTGGGAAAGCAAACTATTAATTACACCATTCCCTTGATAAGACCACATTCAATGCGGTAAGGCTCGGAAATGAAAGGCAATAAATGCTCCTAATACAAAGCATTTATTGCATCCTCCCCGAGAGGAGTACATTGTACCGTTGGCATCCCGATGACCCAGCATTGATTGCTCGAGACCCCGAGCAGTTAAGAAGAGAAGACATTCCTCATCAGAATCAGTGCGCACACTGCCTGTACCTAATGATCACCTACTGACTACACTGACAGCAATTATGAGCTTTTAAGGTATAAATACTCCTTGCAAAAGACAAGACGGGTATGAAACAAAAAACTCTTTACTACAATACACACTCAGTATTTTCTCCTTCCTCTCTCTTTCTCAAAAACTGACTAGATCGTCGGAGGGGATACGCCGGAAAACACTCCGGCGCCCTTCTAACTTGTTCTTCTTTGTTCCAGGAACCTCTTTCAGCCTTACTGGATCGTTCTTCCGCTCCCCCAGGGTCTCCCGTTGCCATTCCAGGTTACCACCGGACCTCGCAGGCTGTTCCAAGCAGCGTGGTTGGTCACTCAACTGGCTCACTCGAGTTCACCAAGTGAGAGATCTGTTCTCGTTTTTATATTGTGCAGGATCTTGCACGCACAATCTGGCGCCGTCTGTGGGAAACGACTAGTTTTCCTAGTTTTTTTCTCTATAAAGAACAGTGACCATGGTGAACACTCGACAGAAAGGGAAAGGACCCCACCAAAGGAGTCTCGAGTTACAAGCTCCCTGTCATCACGGAGGAAGGGATCACACCAATACGAATAAAAGTGCCTCTACTCGGTCAAGAAGGGTTACCCCTCAAACCAGTATGGGAATCAGGTCAGGGGGATCAGCCCCCTTGGCTCGTCAGCTGGCGGAGGTGATTGCAGAAAAGTTTGGCGATAGATTACGTCAGCTGGAAAAGGACAATGTAAACGTCCTAAGCCGGCTCAACGAGTTTGCCACCTCTGGCGAAGGATCGAGGGATTCATTCCTGTCTCGTGGGCTTTCCGCCCGGGAGGCGGAAACGAAGGATCTAAGAAACCATCTAAACAACAAAGCAGAAAGCTCTAGGGCCCCAAAGCGACCCAGAGCCGACGAGCATCATCATGACAACCATTCAAGGAAAGCAAGGCCATTGGCCCTGGACGACCTCCGGCGAGGTTTGTCTAGACGGAGGAAGGGAGATGAATCTGAGGAGGACTCAACCCAATCCACACGACGCCCAGGAAATGAGGGGCTTACCGATGAACTCAAGGACTTCAGAAGGCATCCCGTCAGGGAAGAAATTGATCTCAGAGCCCGGTTAGACTCCAGGAGAAAGGGTAAGGCTGTCCAGGATGAGGCCGAGGACGAAGTCATACAAACACCCTTTACGAGGGAGATCAGTGAGATGGAGGTTTCAAGAAAGTTTGTCGTGCCGCGGTTCAAAACTTATGACGGGCGGTCCGATCCCGAAGCCCATGTCAGGCAATACAAGCAGATGATGTCCCTCTATCATTCGGACCAACGGTTTCTCTGCCGAGTGTTTCCTATGAGCTTGGGAGACTCTGCGATGAAGTGGTTCGAGGCGCTTCCCCCCAACAGTATTGGGTCCTGGAAGGAATTGACTAAGCAGTTCTTGGCTCGATTCATTACGGGGAGTAAGCGCCCCAAAGACATTGGATCATTGCTGACCCTCAGACGGAGGGAATCCGAGACTCTTCGCCAGTACGCCATCCGATACTGGGAAGAGGTTAATGAGGTAGAAGGCTGCTCGGAGGTCATGGCAGCAGCATCTTTCCGGCTCGGCTTGGCAAGGGACACGAACCTGTACCGATCCCTGACCAAGAAGACTCCCTCGGACATGGGGGAACTAATGGCCCGGATAAACAAATACTCGAGGGTTGAGGACGAGATGGGAAGCAGCAAAGGCCGAGCCCTCCAATCTAAAAGAAAAGAGAAGGAGCGGGAAGATATTCCCCGAAAGGGATTGCTACCCCCTCCAGGGGGTTCGTCCAGAGGAGTTCACACTGTGTTCAAGGAACCCATCTTCAAGTTGCTCCATAAAATCAAGCACGAGCCGTTCTTCAAATGGCCGCCCAGGATGCAGAGCGACCCCTCCACCCGTGATCAAAAGGTTAGGTGTTCCTATCACCGGGATTTCGGGCATCGCACCGAAAGCTGCAGGGTGTTCAAATCGTTCTTGGAAAGTTTGGTCCGAGACGGATATTTGAAAGAGTACATAGAGCCCAGGCCAGAAGAGAGACAAGCCCTTGCCCCGACCGAGGAGCCAGACAACATCATAGATGTCATCCATATATGTCCCCTGGATCGCCCCACGTCCAAGGAACTCGAGTCCGACCTCAAGAGGGTAGCTTTTACGAGGAAGGTAGTCAAGGTTGATGTAGGGCCACCAAGTAAAAGGGCCAGGACGGGTGAGCTTGGCATTACATTCTCCGACGCGGATTTGACAGGCGTAGTGACTCCCCATAACGACACCCTTGTCTTGACCCTGAGGATAGGGAAATTCGATGTCAAAAGGATTTTGATAGACTCTGGAAGCTCCTCGGAGGTGATGTACTTCGAAACTTTGAAACGGATGGGTCTTGGCCCCAAAGACCTCACCAAAGTCAGGACACCCCTCATCGGGTTCAACGGCTCATTCGCCCTGCCCGTGGGGAAAATCACATTGCCAGTTGTCACAGGTCCCTTTATCATCGACACCGAGTTTGTTGTGATCGATACGGACTCTCCCTACAACGTGATTATGGGACGAACATGGCTGCATGCGTTGGGAGCGGTGCACTCCACTTTCCACCAGAAATTAAAATTCGCCACGCCAGAAGGTATCATGGAGATCCGGGGGGACCAAGCGTCCGCGAAAAACTGTTTTTATTCAGCCGTTCGAGCCGGGGCGTTCAGCCAGGAGAAGGGGCGAGCACCGGAAGAGATTATGGAAAAATAGCAATTACAGTCCGGGCGTCCAGGAATGGATGACCCCCGGATAGACCCAACTGAGCGGTCGGTAGAAGACCTCCGGAAGGTGCCCTTGATAGAGGGAGAAGAAGAGAGGTATTTCCTAGTTGGAACCTCGATGCCCACAGCCGAACAAGAGGAGATGATCGAGTTCCTAAGGGAAAATACAGACGTGTTCGCGTGGAACGAGATGGAAATGACGGGGGTAGACCCCGAGATAATCACACACAGGCTGCATGTTGACCCGTCGCACAAGCCAGTCAAACAGAGGCCACGACGCATGGCCCCGCATCACACCAGCGCGGTCAACGAGGAAATCGACAAACTCCTGAAGGCCGACGCCATTCGAGAGATACAATTCCCAGAATGGCTATCTAATACGGTGTGCGCAAAGAAGAAAGGGGGGAAATGGCGTGTCTGCGTAGACTTTACAGATCTGAACAAGGCATGTCCCAAGGATGACTACCCCCTGCCAAAGGTGGACCAGCTAGTAGATGCCACTGCCGGATATGAACGAATGGACTTCCTGGATGCCCGAGCAGGATATCATCAGATCCCTCTCTATCCCCGGATCAGAAAAAGACGGCGTTTATCACTCCGAAGGGAGTTTACTGTTACAAAGTGATGCCGTTTGGACTAAAGAACGCCGGGGCAACATACCAAAGACTGATGAATCAGATGTTCAAAAAGCAGATCGCAACACCATGGAGGTCTACATAGACGATATGCTGGTGAAAGAGCAAACGGAGTTGTGATCATCTGACAGATTTGGCGGATACCTTCTCCACCCTCAGGGAGTATGGGCTGAAGCTGAATGCGGCGAAAGTGCGTTTTCGGAGTGGAATCAGGTAAATTCCTCGGATACCTGGTTAGTCAACGAGGAATCGAAGCCAACCCGGATCAGATTCAAGCGATCCTGGACATCCGGAGCCCCCGCACTGTCCGAGAAGTCCAGAAACTCACAGGGATGCTGGCTGCACTTAACCGTTTCGTCTCACGCTCCTCGGACAAATGCAAACCCTTTTTCGGAGCAATCAAGAGTGCTGGGAAGAATATGTGGAGCCAGGGTGCGAGGACGCCCTGGCTGGAATCAAAGAATACCTAAGGACTCTTCCAACCTTGTCCGTCCCCATCCAGGGGAGATGTTGTTCTTGTACCTGGCAGTATCTGAGTTTGCGGTAAGCGGGGTACTTATCCGTGAGCATG